TGTGCATGTGTTGATTTGGCAAGTTTTGTTTTGCTTTGTTTTTTGTGGAAACACCAAATACGACTTGGAACCTGACACTGGTGTGTAGCATTCACTACTGGTTTATCTCATTGTTAATGGTTATGATTTGCATATATTCCATATATTACTGGCTTTATTTTATATCTGTGGTTTCATCACACATGTAGCGCGCCTTGGTGGCAGCAGGTTCATATGTTCATTCTAGAGGTAAAAAAAAGACTAACACCTTCTTAAATGTGTTGATCCTGTGCAGAAAATTCCACCCATGTTCCACCAGCACCTCAAGGAGCAGCCTACTGGACCTGTTTCTCTAAAAGGTCCTAGTGGCAAGAAATGGCAGGCAACAATTGCTTCAGAGTCCGAAGTGTGGTCCTTTGAGCAGGGATGGAAGGAATTCGTCACGGATCACTCCCTCAAGAAAGGTTACTTCTTGGTTTTCACATACGATGGGCCCTCTCAGTTCTCCGTGGCGGTGTTCTCTCCGTCAGGCATCATCGACCCAGCAGCCATGGATGCAAAGCCTACGAATGAGGTAGTCGTTAAGATTGAAGAGGATGAAGGCGTCCAAGGGGACATGGATGCAGGTGGCGCCTCTGAGGTATCAATTCTCCCCACAGAAGAGGGCAATGCAGTAACAGGAAGGAGAACAAGAGCAATGAGGGGTGGCGCCACTGAGATACCACCTCTCCCCACAGAAGAGGGCCATGGAGTAACAGGGAAGAGAACAAGAGCAATGTGTGATCTCCCAGCAGATGCCAATGCATCAAAGAGGCACTCTACTGTCTCAAAGAAAGCTGACAAGAGGAGGTCTCAAGCTGGAACTTCAAAGGATGTGCCGCCAATTGTTCATAGTAAGAAAGATAAAAGAACCTTTTTTTTTTTATAATAATGAAAGCTAACCTGATTTTTTTTTCCTTATGGGGTGTGACCTGAATAATTATTTTGATGTCTCACTGTTGAGATCAACACAAAGGTGCAGTTATTGACAGTTAATAGTGAAATTATTCTTTAGTGTGTTTTCATTGACATAATGAAGTTGAGTGCAGGATAGCGGTATAAATATGACTAAACCATACTGTTGATTACTTGTACTGCATGGTCAGAACTTAGGAGGCCATGTGCTGTGCTATTGTAGGCTTGTAGTTGCCATAACATCCCATATTTAGGCTCTTTATTGGTGGTGGATATTAGCTAAGATTATCGCTGATTTCTCTCACTTCTGAGTATTAATAAAAATAAGTGCTCTATTATGTCAAAACAGGATTGCAATCCCAGTTGAGCACTCTTGAGCAACCATTATTTTTCTAGCTAGGATTCATTCAAAATCATTACCATCCATGTACTTTCCATTCAAGTTAACTTTTGCATATCACAGATGCCACCTTCAGTTTGTTGGACGAATCTAAGACTTTCAACAAGACTCAGATCAGAGATAAGAATGTGCCTAGGAGTGGTAAATGTAAGTTTTTCTTCCTCGAACAATTCTATTGCAGTGAAATTGCCATCATTATTGTTAATAAGAGATTCAGTTCTTTTGGACTGTGTGATACCTGTGAATAAATTGATGCTATCGCGCCTTTCAGTCCTTTTGAAGACCAGCAGGGCACCAGTTGTGATATCTCAAAGGCGCCCAGTAACTGAAGAAGAGAAGGACCTTGCTCTTAGAAAGGCAAATGAATTTAAGTCAAAGTATCCTTTCACCGTGCAAATAATGATGGAATCTTATGTCTATGTGGGATTTTTCATGGTAATGTCACTTATTTCCCAATCGAGTTCAAAACTATTCCTTGTAGTCCCTGCATGAATATAGTTCCTTAGTCGCCGAGTTGTGCTTCCTGACTCTTTGCAGAACACTGTTCTTACAGCAGTAAACATTTTTCAAGCATTTTCCCAGTAACTTTTACAACTAGCTTAGTTTGGCTAATGTACTCACTTTTTGCTTCCCTACTTTTCCAATCTCATTAGATTAGGAAACATTTGTTTGTCATGTGTAAGTTAGCTTGGTACTGTCTGATTTTAATGTTGAAAGCACAAGAAGTGCAGAAAAAATTACCAAAAACTGAGCTAGTATTATGTTTTAAGTTTTTCATTTGTCTACTAGTGGATAGCATTTGCTATATACCCATGTATTTACCATTGGCTTGTTTACATTGTCATTGCTTCTCTAACTTAATCCCCATGTATTTCAGAAAATCGCTTGCGAATTTGTCAGAGAGTCACTTCCCCCGACAAACAAGAAGATAACGCTCTGGGATCCCCTAGGGAAGGCTTGGGAAGTTAACTATGTTTACTACAGCGACCGCTCTGTTGGCGCTTTCAGTGGTGGCTGGGGTAAATTTGCTCTAGGAAACAATCTGGAGAAGTTTGATGTCTGCATCTTTGAGCTTTTCAAGGAGGACAACATAAAAGTGCACATATACAGGGTTGTCCCGGAGATAACTCCGCTCCTCCGTGCCAGAAACAGAGACTAGGCTTTCCTTTGCACATTCGAGGGTGCGGTCCTATTGATCTGCGGCTAGTGGAGAATAAGAAGACTGATTGGTCATTCACATGCTGGAAAGTGCTTCTGTGCTCGTTCAAGAGAGAGCACACTAATAATTTCCCGAAACAAATTAGTGACTATAAACAGAGTTGTTATGTGGTCATGTTCTGGATGGAACACTGGTGTATTGGTTAACTCATATCGCTGTGAACTTGCAGCCATTAGAGTGATTTGCTATATGAATAGTATTGTTGTTTCCCCATTAATTTTTTTTTCTTGCGGTTTATAACAGAAACATACCTTTCAGTAATAGAAAAAACAGGAGAGCTGTCACAATTTATCTGATCAGTTTTGCTTTTGCCTTGGCTGGTGGAGTGGTAGTTGCAAACATGTGGCTCTTGGGTGAAACAGAAGCCTTGACCAAAAACTGGTTGCTTTATGAAATAGTCTAGCCATCGCTTGGTTCCTTTCTGGAACTGTTGCTGAACTGTTCTTTCGTGTCACCATGCTTTCTCAATCGCTGATGTTTCTTGTGATGTTTTTTTTTTTTTTTGAAAAGTATGTTTTCTTGTGATGTTATTTGTGAGATAGCAGCCCAGGCATTGTAGAATCCTACAGAGCACAAGATCAGCAGCAATGCATAGTCTTTCTGTTTCTATTTTATTTCAGCATGATATTTTCATGTGAAATGGGAACTGTTACGGCAGCGGACCTGGCAGGAACAAAACTTTGACAACTAATTCCTGCTGTTGGAGACCAGCCTGCATGGTGGTTGCTGCATCATTTCATGGCTGTGCTCTTGGCCCTCCACCTCCTTCCTTGTTGCTTCACTCTGTTCTCTGTTGGGTGGTGGCTTGCTGCAGATGGGTACAAGACCACGTGTTGAGGCCTCAATCAGGCTCGGCAGCTCAGCTCAGCTCAGCTCAGGGCTCCCTTTAATTCCTTTGTACTCAATTCAGTGTTTCAGCAAATGGAGAAATCTCACTCCTCAGCAGCAGGCCCTTTTTGCAGTACGTACTGGTGATCAGTGAGAGCACGAGTAACAGCTAAGCTGAACATCTATGTGGCATCTGAAGTAGGTTAGCTGAGATCTAATCCAATCATTTGCTCAATGATTCAGTCTGCAGGTTAAGGACATGAGAATAGCAAACAGGTGAAAGCAAAATAGCCTTATGATGTTACAGTTATTTAGTGTCATCCTGTGATTGATCTTGGTGGTCAAGCATTTTTACGGTCCCTGGAGAAATAAGGAAAGGTACTAGTAGTACCAATTTAGCTAGAGTTGATTTTGGTACCTCCTCGTAGAAATGTGGAATTAGTTACAAGTCAGTGCAAATTCTAGTAGTACTTCCCAAGGACGAGGAAAAAGTTCCTTGTCAGCTGGAGTATGGAATTCAACAAAAGCGTTGCACAGATGTACAGTTAGTTAGAGTATGGAATTCAATGAACAAATGTACACCCTCCATCCCAAAATAAGTGTTATTCTCGTTTTTTTAGAAGTCAAACTTTTTAACCATGACTAAATATATATAAGAAAATATAAATATTTATACTGCATAATTACTACCATTAGATAGATCATTGAATCTATTTTTATAATAAACTTATGAGATATAAGTGTTGCTAATATTTTTTATAAATCTAGTCAAAGTTAAGAATGTTTGACCAGCACGAAAGCTAAAACAACATTTATTTTGGGACGGAGAGAGGACCGTTCATTGAGGGTGATTAGGAGAGTCGAATTAAGACATGTGATGGATAATGTAGCGCATTTAGATCACTAATGGTACTCCGATTGCAGCTTATTGTTCGTTGCAATGGTTTAGTGCACTGTTTTATGAGGTCGGGGACTTAGATGGCATCGGATTTCTGCGCCACGGAAAATGTTGATGCAACCACCAGAAAACTTTGGCTCATCTGCAGTTAATGGCCCCTTCATTTCGGTAGGTTCTTGATGGCGAAGGCACATACTCAAGGAACCGTACGGATAGAGGAGCCATTTCGCACGGCCACGGCGAGTTCAACTCAGAACAGTATATCCAGTACATTTACGCATCTAATTCCTGACCATAATTTAAGTCGACAGTAGTACAGATCAAATTCCGGTAGTTCAAACCGACAAACATTTCAGATTTCTTCCATGCAGAATTTTGATTCAACGTGCTTTGGTCTGGTTGATGAACATCAGATGCTGCTGCATTTGGATCATTAAAACAACAAACATACGAGGAATTTAAACGCTAACAAAGTGACAATGTATCGAATTCAGAGTCAAAACACAGGTAGGTAGGTAGGGTAGCAAGAAAAGCACAACGACTTTGAGGAGGGAAAACAAACAAGCTGGTGAGAGAGAAACATCAAGTAAAAAACTTTAAAAAGCTTGTATAGAGCACTATACGCTCACACACACTACTACTCTGTTTTGTATCACTCATCTCATCCGCCATTGATTTCATGGAGGTGGGTGGCAACCTAAGCCCATCTGACGATGCTATGCTCAGATCAGATCAGATGAGATGGGTGCAGGTGCAGTTCTCGGGTTCCTGGACTTCTTGACCAGGAACAGCTTCTTGAGGAGCCTGAGCATCAGCCTCAGGCTCCACTTCCGGCGCCGGACCACCCTGCCGTCCTGTGGCTGTGGGCGGGGATGCTTGCCCTGCTTCTCCAGGTCGACGACGATCATCTCGTCATCGTCGCCGAGCCAACCGCCGGCCGCCTCCTTCATCGCCAGCGCTGCCTTGTTGATCGCGGGGCTCAGCGGGCACAGCGGCGGCACGCTCGCGAGCTCCTCGTTGAAGTCCTCCCACAGCATGTCCATCTTCTCCTCCTCCTCTTCCTCCTCCTCCCCGGCGGCGGCGAGGAACCACGGCAAAGGCGAGCCGCCGAGCTGGTGTCGGAATGCTGATGGAAGAAGCTGCCCTCCTGCATGGAAAGTGGGGAAAGTGAAGTCATCCATGCTTGATGCGAGCCTGCAAATCCTTAAGGTGTAGGAGTATGTGTGTGGTGTTGATGTATGTGTAGTACTACTCCTACTCCTTTAGCCCCTTTGTATCTATTTATATATATACTTCTATATATGTGGAACACTTGGTCTGTACTACTGGCAGTTATAGTACGAGAGTAGGCATGGCATGGATGGTGCAACATCCTCATCTACCTACGTGAAATTGGCTTGTCTGTTGAATTGAAGGTATAGCTTCAGACATGGAGATTCAACTTTGAAGACATGGATGACAAAGCAATAATTGCTCAGTGATTAATGCACACTGTTCAGCCAAATGACAGGCACTGATGCTTCAAATGATCAGAAGTTCAGGGGCATGCAAAAGGCTGTGCATGTTGTTGAGTGCACTTTAAAGATTGTTCATGGGTCTGGCCTGCCTAACAGAAGCTGTGAATAAAGGATGCTGCTGGGTGGACCAAACGGCCAGTACATTTTGAGGAAAAGGGGACTGGTGCTGCATGGCTGGGGTGATTGGGAAGCAAAGGGTGGCTGCCTGGAATCCATGAACATATAGATCAGCAGTATTTGAGTGGTTCCGATCTTTTGGAGGGAGAGCAACAGCCCAGATGGCAAGCATTCTGATGGCTTTCTGCTGAAGATGTGATGTTGCTTGGAAACAAGGTATCTGATCTGCCTACTCCCTGTCTATGTTCCCAAAAAGAATGTGTTGGGATGTCAAATTTTTTTAAGTTTGACTAGATTTATAATACTATCAATATTTATATCTCTAAATATATTTATTATAAAAATATATTCTATGATTCCTCTCGTGATATACTTATTATTATGCATCATAAATGTTAGTACCTTTTTTAATATATTTAATCAACATTTATGATTAATTCACTCTTTGAAAAGCGAGAATCACCCTCACACAAAGAGAGTCATTCTAGCATTCAAATTTTATTCCACAAAGAAAGACACTATAGATAAACATGTGGGTTCCATCTAGTTACTCTGTAGCTCAACCTACAAGGAAAGACAATAAAGGATCCGTTTGGCATAGCTCTAGATCCGAGATATATGCTAGATCTGTAATTTATAGACTAAATTAAAGTGATTTAAATATTTTATTTAATTAAAGTATAAATGAAATGACTCATGTAAATGCATTTAACACGTATGCAGCTCTAGATCTAGGATTTTATAATAGCTATAGGAGACCGGCTCTAGAAAATCCACATATTTCGATAGCTAGAGCGCTCTGCCTTAGGCTAACTTTTTGTAGGTCATTTGCCAATAGCATTGGTATCCCTAACTTCTGAAATAACTCTCATTATGGAACAGAGAGAGTATGTCTATGTCCTACTCTTTGTTCCAAAATAATTACACATCTTGCTTTTCTAAGTCAAACTTTTTAATTTCACCAAATATATATAAAAATATATTAATATTGATTATGTACAATAAGTATCATTAGATTAATATAAAATATATTTTTTATAATAAACATATTAAGAGATATAAATGTTAATGATATTTGCTATAAATTTAGTCAAACCTAAAAAAATGACTTCTACAAAAATGAAGCATGCAGTTATTTTGAAACAGAGGAAGTATGTTCTTAGGGTGACTCTCATTGTGGGGAGAGAGTATGTCCTATGCTCTTCTAGCCTTCTTGGGAAAGAGTAAAGATGACAGGATGAGCTGTTCAGCAGTGTCTTCCACTTGGAGGAAAAAATGACCGAGTGAAATCGACTTGAGTAACAGATTGTTTTGGCTGGCTTTGCATTGTTTTCACCCTTGGTGTTGCCATCTTGGCGAGATAAGGTTCTGAATATGTACTGTTGTCAACTGCCTAGATGAGATTTCTTTTAGGGGCTGTTTGGATTTATTCATTTTGGAGGAATTAAAATCTATATATGATGGATTAGTCTATTTGACTTAGAATTTAACATTCCATAATATTCCCAAGCTCACAAATAAGACTATCTCAAATTCATAGGGTGGGAGATGGAAATGGATTATATAGATCACTGTGCTATAATTCTATTCTCTAACTTATAGCATACTCTTCAACTCACTTCCGTACAATAGAAATGCAACATATAAGTATGTCCCTTGTATGACTAACAATAAATATACAAATATATTTCACATATAACTATATTAGCTTAATTAATCTATGTCTAAATTATAATTATTAGAATGAATTCAATTCCAAAGATCCAAACGGGCCCTTAGGCAAATAGCAAGCCATGTATGTATATATATACTAGTGTGAGAACAAATATAAAACTTGACAAGTGGATGTGTCGTACTACCAAAACTGCCCAAAAAAAATATATTTTGGCCATTTATTTAGAACTGGAGGTCGAATAATGGATTGGCTCAAAGAAGCCAAGGGGAGAGATAATCGAATCACTAGAGATATTTTCTTGAACAAAGATGTCACAATGGCATCTTCCCCTGAATAAATATAGGCTTTAGTTCCTGTTGGATTGGCCATGGTGGTAGATAATTAGCATGTTTAAGATTCATCCTTGGTCTACCGTGCAATGAAACGTCATCTCATGATGTGAACCAAATAGAAGGATGCACTCAAGAGACCAAAAGCAATGCAAATATCAGGGCCTACCCTACCCATTGGATTGCACACGTCTTATTACCACTTTTATGGTATGTCTAACAGAAAAGGATAGTATTTCATAAAGTCATCCACGGAATGCTTGATGTGTCTAATTTTTATGGTCCTTAACTTGATTTAGTACATAGGAATGATTTTGCTTAGGTAGGAGAAGCACATTTCCTTTTTGGAAACAGAGAAAGTTTTATCTAAAGTCGTCATTACCAATCTACCGGCAATTCTTTGAAGTGTTTGAACTACTACACTCGTGCATCATCAGTATACATAACACCTACATGATTTCCCCAATCCAAACCTAACTTCTTCGTCAATATAATAGACAGTTCTCCTGCCTGTCCCTTTAAAATGAACACTTGGATGAATAAATTAAGTCAACTCAACAATATTTACTAGAAAAAAAAACTGTGTGGGAAAAAAGTACTAGAAATTCTTTCAATGGACATGTACTGTGAGTAGAAGTGTAACTTCAAAACTAGCTAGCTGCACAATTCCGTGTGTCATTTGACTACCGCTATGGATAAAGAAGCGAAATGAGATAAGATACCTTGGTATTTTGAAGTGAACTGGCACCCATATTTTTTCCTCCCTTCTCCAACTCGTAATTCCCTATCTCCAGTGAGATCCAACGTCTTTTTCCCCATCTCCGGCGATCTTGGACCCATATTCTCCATCTCTGGCGGTTCTTGGCTTTAGCGAGGTTAGGGTTAGGATTTTGGGTTGGTTTGCAGCAGGGATTCAATAGAGGATAGTAGACATACTATGATGCCCCTGAAGATATGGGTACTCAAAAGGAGGCATCGAAGACAGTGGGCATAGAAGATATACGGCTTGTTAGGTAGGGTTGGAGCGGAGGCAATAAATCAATCACTCATTGATGATATATGGGTTTGCTAGTGGTGACAAATCTGGTAGCTAGAGGTACTAGAGACGGGTGTGGGCTAGGAGGGTGGACCGAAGGGAATGTCGTAGTGGTTTAGCCTTGGAACCGGAAGAGCATATAGCGGAGGTGAAGAGCAAAGCAAGAAGTAAGCGGAGAAAAAGATTTGGTTCAATAGTTCAAATGTGAGCGCAAATAAATTAAAAAATGCCTGGACAAAGTAGCAATGGATGTTAGGTAGTCTAGATGTAAGGTGTGAAATGGGAAATGGAAATGTTGTTGGATAATACAGGTTGAGTATAAGATAGAGTTATAAGGCTTTTATCCCGGACCTTGTTTTCGTTTGACCTTGGATAGAGATAGGAAAATGTTTAATATAACCAAAATGTCCTTTCAAAATAAAGAGGTAGCACTTTCACACTAAAGGGCAAATATGTAATTTTCATGTTTCTCATCTCTATCCCACTTCCTACTATGGGTTTTAGAGCTTGTTTGTGTAAGGCAACTTATATAATTCATGCTCCCCAAGCTTAAATATTCCTATAATAAGTTGCCTGGGCCAATTTGTTTCAACATTTATCTTCTACACCTATTATAAAGCTTGGGGGTAAACAAAGTGTGCCCTCGATGGGCTGGACATGAGTGGCATTTCTCTTTCCCTTACCTTCCTCGTGTGATCGTATCCCTTTCCAAGAATCCAAACATAGATTTTCCAGAGAACTAATATTCCATTCCCACCAGCTATTTCTCATTGTCCAAACACCACTTAAAGGGAAATGGGTTTGCCTACATAGCTCCACCTGATCGTTTTATTTTTATTTATTTATTTATTTATTTGCAGAAGAACCCACTATCGGCTAGCAGCATGGCAATAACCGTGGGCCACTCATTCAGTACGTGGGGCCTCTTGGCAAACGCTCCCAAGTGTGTGGCAGGCAGGCCCAGAACCAGCACTGGTCCAGTGGTTGGATCACTGCAAAATCCGGTGAGAGAGACGGCACAGTTTGACGAGTATGCACTCCACGTGCCAGACACGGTTGTGATTACAGGTACAGCGGCGGTTATTTGTAATGTCAACGTACAAGAGATGAGTTCAACATCATTTAGTGCCAAGTCGGATATATGGCGTGCGGTGCATGGTCCTATACCAAAATAAAAGTGAAGTAGCTGTACACTTGTATGTCAGTTTGGTTGGGACACACTGTTTCGCCATAACTGAACTCTGGCCCAATTCAACAACTAGCTCATTGGCCATAACTGATCCATGTATGCAGCTGGGCATTATGTTCTATGCTATATTTTAGATTCTTCCTTTTATTTAAGGTACAGTGCATTTTTTCGACCTCCAAATTGTAAGTCAGTTTGATTTTCAACACTTGAACTATATCGCCATCTAACTGTCGAAACCGGACAGATTTGGTCCTTTTGCTAGTTTCATAGTAGTAGTAGTATCCAACTGTCGAAACCGGACAGATTTGTACTACTACTGCTGCTGCTGCTGCTACTGTTGTTGCTGCCGCCGCCGCCTACTGTAGTAGTAGTAGTAGTAGTAGTAGTAGTAGTAGTAGTAGTAGTAGTAGTAGTAGTAATAATAATAATAATAATAATAATAATAATAATAATAATAATAATAATAATAATCTAGTTTGATCTCTAAAAGAATCCATAATTAATATATTTGAAATCAGAACAAAAATAAACTAGTATAATTTTTTAGAAATGTTATCTTCATATTTATGATTTATATATAGTTATTTGGAATTGGTTTATTTTTGTTACTATTGCTTTTATTGCTTGTATGTAGGCGTGCTCACTATTTATCTAAAACAAATAATACCCAAAATAATTCTAAATAGAGCATCAACAAATAGATAACATTAATATTTTAGGAAGAGAATTGGAACAAGTTTTATATTTTTTTCTGATTTAAGTAAATTAGTTATGGATTCAAAAAGATCAAACAATATTTTTACCATTTTTAGAAAATAGAAAACTACATTTGAAAGGACTAAATTTGTTTGGTTCTCACAATTGAAGGTTGTCCGTTACCCAATTTCATAGTCCATGGTTGAAAATTGGACTAACATGCAACTTGAATGAAGGTTGAAAAATGTACTTTATCCTTTCATAACACTAGAAAAAGGCTTTCTCTATTTTTCGGATTTGGCCTGTGCATATATGTGAACCGCGCCTGCCTACCAATGCAAATACCAACAGGTGTTCTTTCAACGACGATGGAACCAAACCCGAACCTCATATGCACTTTGTACTTTTGCAGGTTTTCAGCTGCGCAGTGTTCACATGCACAGTTCCTCTTTTTTTTTTTATGTTTTGCTGTAAAGAAATGCAAAAGGGGAGTGCATATCCGCCTTCCCCAGGCCTAACATTTTGCTGTAAATAAATAAAGAAAACAAAAAATGCAGAGGCAGGTGAACTCTGAACGGTTTCCTCCCTCCTTTCCATTTTTCATTTATTAGTATTTGTTTTAATTCTTTTTTCATTGTAGAGGCTTGTTTGGACGTAGTCATATCCATATATGTTGGAGTGGATTGGGGTGGAACTCATTCCAACACACATGAATTTAGATGGATATAAGTGCATCAAACAAAGGCCGAAGGGTTTATATTAATATTTTATTTTGAGATATGTACGTATGGAGATTGAACATTTGAACTAGCATCCATCCATCCATCCATCCATCCCTTTATAAGCAACCGTGTCCAATCGTCATTTATTTCATTCAGAAGCGTTGTGATATCAAAATCACAAGAAAACAATCCCCTGCAAATTAAACGAATCTGTTTATAGGAAGGAGGCGCAATCATGTGTGGGACTATACAAGCTAAGGGACGTAGAGTGGTGTTGATGAGATGGACGCGGCCCACTGCGTGAAGCCACGTTCATGGCCACGAGTGTTTGATCATATTCGTTTGTCTTATGAGCCATATTATTTCAGCGAACGAACAATATTTTTCTCTTATAATGGCCCCGTTCGCTGGTCTGAACTTTGATTGAAACTGGCTGAAAAACACTGTTCCGGCTGAATTGTTGTGAGAGAAAAATATTGTTCCGGCTGAAAAAATAAGCCGAACAAGCCAAATTTAAGACAAGCGAACGAGGCCAATAAATCAGCAAACAGTACTTTCAGTCATGAGTTTTTCAGCAAATCGAATAGGGCCTTTATCTTGCAAAGCACATAAGGTGACCGTCCATTATTGAAGCAACGAAAAGGACCATTTTGACTTGCCGATTGGCCCCATGTTCTTTATACCTATGTGACAAAAAAAATGACAGCCAGAACAAAGGGGAAAAGTCATGGATATAACAAAAGAAAAAAAAACGCCGATTGCCATAGATATGATGCCTGCCTACCTAGGAATAGGAATAGGATTGGTAGTCAATTACTTGCTACAGAAAAATCTAGGTGCCTTGTGGCATGTTTAGTCACTACAACTAATAGTTAGCTGCTAAAAATAGTTAACTGGGATCTATTTAGATCCTCACTTAATGTCTTGCCTACCACTCCAGCTAACAATTAGCTATTAGCTGATTTCTCCAGGCTAACACATCTAATAGTTAGCTAAATTGATCCAAATGGAGCCTTAGGATATGCTACCTGCCAATCTAGGATTAGGATTGGTAGTCAATTAATTGCTATAATCTAGGTGTCTTAGGAGTAACTATTAGCTGGGTTAGCTTAAAGAAACCAGCTAATAGTTAATTATTAGCTGGGTAGTAGATAAAATATTAGTTAGTTTAATAGCTGAGGACCTCGGATAATTTTTAACAGCTAACTATTAGCTATATGAGATTCAAATACACCCTTATGGTGGTAAATATTAATTGCTCCTTGGCTCAATTTTTCTAATAATTAATCCTGCTATAGAAGTTGACTCCGTGTTTGTAGTATTTAATTATTACTTTGTTCATATATTTGTTACATCCTTCATTCTAAATTGTAGGCCACTTTAATTTTGTGGTGAAATTTCTCTAACTTTGGCTAGGTTCATAGAAAAATGCACTAACATGTATTACATCAAATTAGTTTGTCAGAAAATGTACTTCGATAGTGCACTTATTTTCACTTGTACTAGATGTTAATATATTTTTTTTCTAAAAAAATGGTCATTAAATTGGATAAATTTGATTTACGACAAAACTTGGCCAATATAATTTGGAACGGGTGTAGTAAAAATAAAGAAGTACGAAGTTTTCATGACAAAGTAATCAGTACCCATTTATAATTAAAATACTATATTTTTACACATAATAGGTCAAAATCTGTAACATTCTAATACTATATTTTTGTACATAAGAGGTCAAAATCGGTATTTTCACACATAAGAAATCAAAATCAGTAAGCTTTTCAAAAATATTTTTGTTGACAAAAAGCAAAAAGCCAACCAAACAAGTGTAATATGAAGCTACCTTTTCGGAAGCAGCTGCTTCCGTGCACTATAATTTCGAAACCATCCTGCTTTTGGCTTTTTGCTTTTTGAAATGGGTACAAATAGAGAACCATTCTACAGCTGTTTCAATGAGCCGCGTGGGGGAGGATGAAGGCGCCGCGTTGGGCGCGAGATGGAAGAAGGCGCTGCGCGTGGTGAGAGACGCGTTGGGCGTGTACGTGATCGGCATCAAAAAAGGGTCTGGTCGTATTAGAGTCATTACCTTAATAAACACACACACCACGCTTATCACAATTCACAACCATGCACCACTGGTTGAGTTAGGATTTTTGAGTTTGTGTATTCCCAACATAACAATTTAGGAGTACAACAAGATAAACTTGAA